ATTGTTTTGTATCTGCTTTCTCTCTCATGTTGTTGTTGTTGTTGTTTGGAATTATAGTTTATATTGTTGAATATGTGTGTGTGTATATGTATATATAATTATAAACAACCATTTGCAAATGTGCATTTAAATGGTTGAAACTCCAGCTCCTTTTCCTTCTTCCTCTTTTTTTTTTTTTCTTTCAAAAGAGTGGGGTTGTACCTCTTTCAAAATGTGAGTTTAGCATACCACACAGGAAAGAAGACACGCTTGCCAAGTCCTGCTGAGCGTTTTTTCAAGCCTGTGAAAAGAATGAATTATTCAACAGTAAGCATGCTTACAGCTGGCCATTTGGGAGCTTTGATGTGCGAATCAGGCGGTTGCATGAATGCCCTTATTGTCATGTTATGTGTACACAGTGTGTGAATTATTGAAAATAGTGAGGCCTGAGCCTCATCTGGTAGAGATTACAGTGCAGGCATGCTGGGTGAAGGTCTGTAATTGAAAATCCCCAGATGCTGTTTATTTGGCCTATGTCACATGACCTTCTGCCGTAAGCTTGTCTGAACAAAACACAGGCTGTGCTGGAAAGGCTTGCCCAATCTCCCAGGCTCGCTCCCTGCTTTTCTGTAAGGCTCGGAAAGGGGACGACTTTCAAAACTCACTGTAGGGATGACTTAACACCTGCCTATACTATTTTTAAAGGCTTAAAATAGATTTTGCTCATGGCTTTTAAATAGCAGGTCTCTTACTTAGCAGAGGAAGCTGTTTAATCAGTTGTTGACTTACCTACAAGTGATTTCTTTTTTGCTAATTTGGATTTAAAATGTCTTCCTCCCCCACCATGGCAACTCGGTACATGCACATAAATGCTTGAAGGGGAGTGTTCTTTCCCCCCCCCCCCCCTCTGACAGAGGCACTGGAAGCAGCTATGCAGTTCACTCCTTTGACTTTGAGATGCTGAAATCTTTGAAGGCTGTAATCTGATGTTAGTTGGTGGCTCAAAATGCCTTTTGAGATGCTGCTGCTGAGGACCATCCCTCAAACACCACCAGTCCAAGCACCACTGGAATATGTATTGAAAATCAGCAAAATGACAACAACAAAAGGGCTGGAGCGAGGATTTAAAGATAAAATTAGGTTGCCCTGCCATGTGAATTTGATGCATATGTTATTGAATATATTTCCAAAAAGGCATGGAAGACTGTCTCTATCTAATCATGCATTTTCAAGTAGATACATTTTAGTGATACATCTCATCAGAACTGGAACAGAACAAATGAAACAGAAAACAACTCTGGTACCTACCAGAGAATAAACATCCCCTAATTTATTTTCACTTTTCCACCAAAATGCAAACATGACATTGAATGGGCAAAATCCTTAGTCCACAAAAGCTTTGTTAGTTTTTAAGATGCCACATAATGCTATGTTGTTTCTGCTGAGTAGTAAGTTAACATAACTATAGAATGGAGGTGGGCTTCTCTGATTTGAAAATATTTTTCCAACTTTAATTTTAATAGTGTATGTCCTTTAAAATCCCCTTAAACAGAATTGTGTAATTGTTGCCAAGTAAAGTGAGGCTTTGGGTTGTACTATTGGGCCATTTGGCATTCTCTCTGAAAATAAGCTGGTTTCTTTGGAATATGATAGCCCAGTTGAATGAAATGCATTGCACATGTTTGAGACACAGTCTGAGTTTTGAACTGGAGCTTAGTGTCTCATGTGTTGTCAAGGCATCCTGGAGTGATTAAGCATACTCAAATGCTGTGTCTTCCTACTATCTTATATCATTACATGCTGCAGGGCATATTTTGTACTAATCTATATTATTTTTCATTCTTAAGCACTTATGCTATTTTTTAAAATCTGAGCTCCCAAAGTATCTCAAAAGAATTTTGATAAAATCCATACTATTTAAAAATTAAAAATGTGAAAGATAAAAATAAAAAAAAACTTGGAAGGGCAATAAGAGAAGCCTGACTTAATTTAAAATAATATTCAAAAATATCAACTTCATGAATAGAAAGCAACAATGAAAAGAAAAACACTAATTATGAATGAAAGGGGCAAAATGTATGTCCAAAAATAAGAATTGGAATCATCTATGATACTGGTATATATGAAAATAAGAATTCTTAGGTTGGTGACAGTTGAATGTTGCACTCCAGTAAATGATTGTGATGGAAGAAGCAAATTAAGTTTCATGTTTAATATGGTAAATGTTGTAAAAATATAACCCACACATACAAAACCTCTTTTGGGGTCCTCCATAATTTTTAAAAGTGGGAAGGGTCTTGAGAGCAAAAAGTTTAAGAAACATTGGATTAGGCAGAGCTGGGAAGATGGGCCTCTTTTTAGAGATAATCACCTCAATATAATAAAACACCATTCTGATAGAAAGACAAAGAAGCAAAGTTAAACCAAAGGTATGGACTGGAGGTACAGTTTTTTCACCAAGTTATGAAGCTACTTTTAGTTGCTTGTCCACCTAGACTTTTGCAAGCTGATCATCCAAGATATGAAAAGACTCGCTTCAATTTTGCAAAACTTACCTGTTTGCCCCCCTTGTTAATTTTATTTACTGTGGATAATTGAATTTGTGGTAATATGTAAGTCTTGCAGTAACATTTCCTGCTAATCTCGATTAGAGTCAAGTGTTTTCAGAATTCACCTACTGAGAACCACATGCCAGCAGATAATACCTAGCCCTTTGCAGTTAATAGAATATGTAACCTCTTTAGCGCTGAGGGCCACCCAGGAATAGATGGTCAGAGCCAAGACAAAAATTAAAAGTGATTTAGTATAAATTGTAAGCTCAGTTTAAATGTAGAGAGTCAGTTTGTTGTAGTGGTTAAGGTACTAGTCTAGAAACCAAGAGACCCTGAGCTCTAGTCCTGCCTTGGGCACAAAGCCAGCTGGGTGGTTTTCGGCCAGTCTCTCTCTCAGACCTGGGAAGGAGGCAATGGCAAATCGCTTCCAAAATCTTGCCAAGAAAACTGCAGGGGCTGGTCCAGGCAGTTGCCAGGCATCAACATTAACTCAAAGGCATTCAAATCAATCAATCGGTCGATCAATAAATGAAACCTAAGAGTTGATAGGATTGTTCTCCATGTATTTAAGGAATTTTTCAGACACAGCCACAGTTAGGTGGCATTTGGATTGTTTTTTTGGAGGGATATACATTATTGGGACTTAAAGGTATGCGATTCTGATCTAGGTTCTTGCAACTGGAAAATGTTATCTTGGTTAACATAATCAATAATAGTCAAATTGAAAACTATGAAAATGGGAGCTTTTTATATCTTTTGGTCCACACAGAGTGAATTTGTGAAAGATGGAAGGAGGTAATGTCACAATATCTGAATATTTTGTTTTGCATTGTGCAAAACCTCTGAAGAAGTATACTTGTGTAGTGCTATTCTCATGTAGAATCCCAGTATCTATATTCAGTTCTATGTGCAAAAGCACTGGGCAGATGCAGCAGAGCAAACAGCTAGTAATTTGGGAATGGGACTAGTGACATGCTGCCTTCTCTATACGTCTTCTTTATGCATTAGAGAGTATGTGATAAAGGCTTAATAGTCTTTGAGGATATTTTGTAGGAAGCTTTAATATGAAGAAGAGAGACCAGAGTATTCATTGTTGAACCCAGCTAAGGAACACTGTGATCAGTAGGATTGTGTGTTCCTTTATCTGGGCCTCTCTTTCTGGTCCTCCCCACTACAACTGGGAGAAATTAATAAATCGGGGTATCACAGTCCTTGTAATAAATAGGGGCATCACAGTCCTTGACCATGGACTGTTTCCATTTCATTCTTCAGATTTTTCTATGGTATTTTATTGTAAAGTGCTGAAGATCTTTGGTAGCTAGTGATATGACAGAGCTAAATAGGAAGGTAGGTAGAGTAGGGTAGTAAAAGTTAGCAACTTATTTCTTTGCAGTATCAACCACAGAATTCATAAAGCATAATGTTTGCTATGTATGCTCTGAAAAATGAATAGCACCTTAGGATGCTATTGCCAGCATAATTTAGGAATGGAAAAGAAAAGCCAACAGGTCTGCCATACTTGTTTTAAGTTGAGCTATAGTAGCCATCAAAATAACTTTGTGTTTAGATCTTAAATGTTTTGTATTTTCAACAATCAGATGATGCTTATGTCACAGAATTTTGCTCCACTTTGGAACTGCTCTTGTCTGAATTTCCATTTTTCTCTCTTTCTAATATAGGTAGTCCTCAGTTTCTGACAGCAATTGGAACCAGAATTACCGTTGCTAAGCGAGTCGGCTGTAAAGTGCAACATCACATGACCGTGCTCCTTAGCAGCTCCAGAAATCCTGGTTGCCATTGTTAAGCAAGGACTACACAGGTTGTTAAGTGAGGACCTCATGTGACTGCAATTTCTGACTTCCTGCCAGCTTCCCCACTGACTTTGCTTGTGGGAAGCTGGCAAGGAACATTGGAAATCGTGATCACATGACTGCTACTCTCTGTGATGTCATAATCACAAGCTGGGCACCAAGTGCCCAGATCATGATCACATGACTGGGGGGATGCTGCAACAGCTGGAACTCCAAGGACTAGTTGTAACTACCATTCACTCAGCCCCATCATAAACTTGAACAGTCGCTGAGCGAGTAGTCATTAAACGAAGACCACCTGTATATAGTTTAAAATATTGAAATAATTTTCCACGTGCTGGTACTATTTTAGCTGAAGTACAATTTTTGAACAAAACCAAAGGTAAAAATCCAGTGGTAGCTATCTATCTATGTATCTATGGAATGGACATCATTTGCTGAATGGATTCTCCCTCAGTTCCATCTCCAAATAACAGGAGAGGGTTAAAAAGATGGGGAAATTCCATTATGCAAACAGAAGTTTGCTCAAACCTTTATCTTAAAAAATATGCCTGGTCCTTATTTTCATTGCGTCTATTTTTAGTCATTGTTTTGACATGTATATGTTCATGATGAATTGTTACTTTTAGTCTTCATTGTAAATTCATATTCATTTCAGGTAGGAATGAACTGATAGCCAGATACATCAAACTTAGAACGGGAAAGACACGGACCAGGAAACAGGTAAGACAGTCCTGCAGGACAGAAGATGTATGCCAGTGAATGAGCGAATGTAGCAGTCTTGGCAGTCGTAACTGCCTTGGCATCTCTAGTTAGATGCAGAATGATGTTTACAATGTCTTATGTTTGCTTTGAAGAATAGTGCTGTTTGTACCACTCATCACTTCAATATCAGTTGCTGAGGCACATGGTACACATGCAAGTTTAAAACACCTGTATCGAAAAATAGTCTGGAAGTATTAATCTGTTAATTTCAGAATAAATAGTTTGCTGAGTTGGCAGAATGGATCTGTGTTTTCTTAAACTCCTGGCTTGTTCCCAGCTTATTGTTCCCATCTCAAAAGAATTAGCACTTATAAAAACTTTTTGCAGAGCAACACAATTTAGTTTTTCCTTTTGACACAGTGCATTAGCTAGTACTTGTTTAAGGCTTACATAAATATTTGGGCTTCAAACAAATGGATCCAGTGATGTTACTACTGGGAAACTTCAAGGCACAGAATTACATTTAGAAAGTAAAATATATTGAATGGAATCAGAGTTCACATGATATTTAAAAGAAAAAGAATCAGAGTGCTTCAAAATTAGCAAAATTATTCAAAACATGAATAACTAGTAAAATGCATGTTCTCTTTGAGACAGTAATCTGTCCAGTGTAAGGTTTTAGGTTAGACCAGGCCAGATTCTTTGTGTAGAACATTTTAAATAGAAAGAGCCATAACACATTGTTTAAGGTCAAAAGAAGAAAACAAGGAAGTTTACCCAATGATTAGCAGTAGCAACTGGAATTTCTACAAAGGATTCTCTAAGATCTGTTGAAGAACTTTATTTGTATATTAAGTGTTTTCTCTAGTATTAGAAATAAGTTTAAGCAGATTTTGAAGGAAGGACTGTTCAGATTGGTGACTGAGGATTTAAATACTAGCTAAGATTAGAAAAAGCAAATGAGGGCTTTGTCAGTGTTTTTAATTTAATTTAATATTTCAATTTTGAGGCCACCTAACTCCATAGTGACTCAAAATATACCAAAATCCAAAGAGGCTCATCCACCATCCTAACCCAAGGTTCTGGGGGAGTGACCAGGTTTTTAGCAATTTGTAAAAAATCAGTCAGGCGAGAACAGTCTGGATGTTCACAGAGAAAATTATCATAGCCCTGTTCTGGCATTACAAATAGATCATTTATGTCCCCCACTTGAGTGACAAGCATGACCCATATTCCCTCTGAAGTCAGGTCAGTGACATCTAGAAGAAATCCATTGTATGGATCCTGGATTCCACATGAATTCAAAACCTGTGCAATCAGGATTTGAACTCATCAAATCATAGAGTTGGAAGGGGCCTTTTAAGCCATTAAGTCCAGCCCCCTGCTCAGTGCAGGAATCCAGATTAGAGCATGCTGGACAGATGGCTGTCTAATCTCTCCTTGAATGTGTTCAATGAAGAGGAGCCTACCATCTGTCTGGGTAATTGGATCATATGGAAGCAAATGCCCATACAGTTCTATAGATAAAGGCCTTCTTGATGCAGATGACCTTGCTGTACTATGAGTGCCTCCTCTGCCTATGTATCTCTAGTTTTTGGAAGGGAGAAGGTTGGTGAGAGATTGCTTATGTGATGACTAAATACCCTAGTTATAAAGTCTGAATAGGACACCTGTGATGTGGGAGTTTCTTGTTCTTGTTCTTGTTCTTATTATTATTATCATCATCATCATTATCATCTATTTTCTTGAACACTGCTATATGATCACTACAAGCTTGTAGAATTATCAGAAATATTTTCCATGTCACATTTTTATGATAAAGTGAATTCCTGTAAAGTCCAGGTAGATAATAACATTACAGGACAAACATGAAGTGAATTCCAGCCTTTATTTTTAAGGGAATACTAAATTTTATTACAACATTGAATAATGTTAATCAATGGTTCCTATGACTTAGAGGTTTTAAAATTTCCCCATGTTTAGAAGTGGCAAGGATACATATATTTTCAATTGTGTTCTCACAAGTTACTTAATGGAATTTTAGTGAAGTTGTTACATAGATTTGCAAAAATCAGAGTATGTTGCATCAAATTTAGGGCTGGGCAGCATCCTTGATTTTAATTTTCTATAATGCTTCTAATTCAGAAACATCTATGCAAACTTTTTTTTAACATTAATTACTGTAACTATGCTTAAATATTAAACTCAAATAGGGTATGTAAATACACATAAGAAGCATCAATCCAGTATACAGTATATGTTCCGCAGTATGTACTTTGAAACCATAGTATATTCTCATATATTGACATTGAAGTAAACATAGTTGAATCCTCTGTAAGACAGTATCTGTAGCTCAGGGTTGATCTGTGGAGTTCTTGGTGCTCTCTGAGCTTGGTTGTTTGCCTGCAGGCATTTCATTGCCCAACTAGGTAACATCATCTGTGTGAGTGAGTGTGGGGTTTGGTGCCTGATTACATGCAGTAGCTTGTCCTGCCAGTTTTGGTGTGGGTGGAGTTTCCTCCTTGGTGGTTCCTTTATTAGAGTATTGTTTTTTGCCTGATTTTTTGTCAAAAACATCTCAGAAACAACCAATAGACTGTAACACACAAACCAACTAAAGTCCTCCAAAACATCTTAAGCAAACCAAAAGACTCAGTAGCCCAAGAAGAAAAAAACACTGGTCATCTACAACATACAGTAGCCACTATGTAGGATAGACAGGCAGAAGACTAGCAGAACACCAACTAGCAGTCAGAAGCCATGACAAAAACTCCTTAATCTTACAACACATGGACAGACTCAACCATAGTTTCAACTGGGAAACTGTGAGCATCCTAGACTGAGCTAAATCCAAAAATGCTAGGGAATTTCTGGAAGCTTGGCATTCAGGCAAGTCAGCCATCAATAGACACATAGAAATAAACCATATTTAGAGACAATTTGAAAGAGACAATTAAAAGGCTAAGAAGAAAACAAAAAGACCAGAAAATCTCCTCTCCAGCAGCCAACACCCAGATGAGCAGGAATTAACACCAGACAAACAATCAAGCAGAAAACAATACCCTAATCAAGGAACTACCAAGGAGAAAAACCACAGCCCCACTGACATTGGCAGGGCAAGTTACTGTATATAAACAGGGAGAAAACCGCACACTCACTCGCATTGATGATGTTATCTAGGTGGATAATGAAATGTCTGCAAGCAAACAGTCGAGCTCAGAGAGCACTAAGTATTCCACAGTCAAATCCTCTTTTCAGATCTTGCCTCCCAGTCCCACTGGGAGCAGTGATAGTATGTATGGCTATAAGTTAAATCTACATATCCTGTTTGGGTTTAACAGATTTTATATTTAATCTGGTCAAGAAACATAGCTTCATGTGGTATTGATAGAGGCTGATCTGGAAAGATCCATGTCTGGCTGCTTCCTAGGTAGGTCTTCTCCCGAAATAAATTGAGACTTTTGTTTCTAAGAAAAGGAAGGTGCACTTGACCCCCTTTTTTGGTCTCAGGTGCAAGATAATGAACGGGCAGTGTATTACAGACCTTCTGTCTTGGGATCAAAGTGGCACTGGACATTTACAGAGAAGGTTAAATATGCAGAAATCCTTTATGTATGTCTTGGTTGAACTAGGGAATGCTGTACATGTTTTGTTTGTGATACCATAGAACTAATGTTAGTGCAGCTAAAAAGAAAAAACAAGGAAATGGCCAAATGTCAGTGGCTCATAGTCATCTACACTGAATGTTTTTTTCTGGCATTTTTTTTCCCTGTTGGAAAAATTAAATTACAATGATTCTTAAAGCTGATCTCCAAATTGCAATTAAAAATAGATATACTGTAATCTAAAAAAGTTATGGCAATGTTTTAAATCCCTTTAAAGGTTTTTGATTATTCAAAGATAATATTGCAAAACTGTTTTATTTTATTTGCGGTATTTTTCACACGTTTCCCTGAAGGATTATAAGAGGCACTCCATTTGTTGTACTGGGTTCAGTTCTAACATCCTGCTAACCATAGTTTAGAAAACCTAACTATGGCCTAATATGATTCCTACTTTAACAAATCCATAATTTTGAAATGGATTTGCAAATTATAACTTGGACTACCTATCTCAGTTGATACAGTATACTCAAGTTACAGTTCTTTTTCTGTCTCCAAAATGTACCTAAATATTGGAATGCTGCTAGGAGGAAAATAAAATTAAACAGCTGTGGATTACCTACACCCAAAAGCATAAACTGTAGTTTAAAAAGATGTAGTGGCGTGATTGCACTTTTCGAGTACCCAAGACTGTTGTACAGAAGAAGCTTCAGACATGTTCTCTGTAAATCTCAGGGCAAGACATACAGTAATGGATTTAACTTACAGAAAGATAGATTGCAGTTTAATATTAGAATAACTTTAAGTGGTAAAAACCAACAACAGTGGAGCCAATTACCCAGACAGATTCTGAGCTCCTTCTCCCTAGATAACCTCAGTCATGGGCTACAGATGCTTTAATTTGGAATCCCGCATGGAGCAGAAGGTTGGTCTTGACGGCCTAAATTGCCCCTTTTGATTCTAAGATTTTTAGATTCTCTAATATCTGAATTAGGATGGTTCTGCATCAAGTAAAGTCACACACATATAGCTCAGTTTTGGAATGAAGAATTTTGAAGCTGAATAGGGCTACTGATTCACCTAAATTAGAGTTCTCTCTAAATACAAGGTGTATCAAAAGTTGGGCACCATAGGCCAATCACAGTCTGTTTTTTTTTTTCCGAGAAAATGTTCCTGTATTTAGGAAGTTCAAAGGTGATGCATCAAAGAGTAAGGAAGTGTTTAGAAGAAAATAGCACCTAATTTGAACATTTAATGTTCAGTAATTTATATAATAAATTGTCTATAGGGCTTGGCTTTTGGTACACCCTGTAGATTGGCAGCAGCTCTTCTGGAATTTAAACTAGAGTTTGTTTTTCTACGGCTGTCTGAAAATACTGAAGAGTGAATTTCAAACCTGTGTGCAAGCAAGAGCTTTATCTCTTGATTATGTCCTAATTTTAGAAAAATATTAGGACTTCTACAATGTAATTGAAATCAAGACACTGCTGAGATTATTGTAGGAATTATAACCAAATATTTTATATTGAAAGATGTAATTTTTGGTAATAAGTGACCCAGCATTCTTTGTTCTCTATACAATGTAACTATTGTTATTATTTAGACTTTCTGTTTTTTGTTTTGCTTTTGAAATCAAATTGGGCCTCCTGGTTGTATTTAACTTGCATCTGAGAATCAGATATTCCAGATGCTAGGGATTACCTATATTAAAACACACACATGCACATACTTTCTTTTACTCTGTCTCTCTCTCTCTCTCTCATACACACACACACACAATGATTGCCATTGGTTTTCCTTCACTATTCAAACGCATAGCAGTACTACTGAAGCTTTGAGTTAGATACACAGTAGAAAAACTGAATAATCAGGAATAGCCACAGAGTAGTGGGTGTCCTGAAAGTGCATGTGTACGAAAATGTGCAAGATGGAGGATGCAGTGTCAAATCGAAGATCTACCCTTTTTTATGTGTGTTGATGTCACACAGACATCCAAAAGGGCTTGGCTGTGACACCTCTTCCACTATCTTGCAGATTTTGACCCTAGCCCGCACTCTGTAGATGGCCATAATAAGTGTTATTATATTCTAAAATTGGATTATGCAGTGGGCCAAGCTGGAGTATGATTGAACATTTAGAGTAGGACTGGAGAACCTTGCTCAAATTCCCATTCATTGGAAGATATGGCCAATCATTATATCTCAGCCTAACTTTTCTGATAAGGTTGCTGTGAGGGAAAAAAATAAATGAGATTGCCCCAAGATCCTGGGAGAAAGGCAAGATGTTATTGGAATAATCACTTCACAATGGTGAACTCTTTCTGTCATTACACTGGAACTGTAAGGTATCAATGCAGTGCACAGATGCGGGATATATGAAATTCTTGAATATGGTTTCTGAGGATATATTTAAGACTAGTGACTTTCCCTTCATCCAGTAAACTTTCAGATTAAAGATTTGCAAGTTTTCTTTTGCCTGAACAATTTCTCCCCTAAAAAGTGTTTTATAAGAATGGTTTTGAAGAAGGAAGAAGGAAATACAGTTGCTGGATATAAAATGTTTCTTAATTGTGTAGGGTTAATCATAGACCTGCTCAGAGTGCAGAATGGCTCCAGTTTTTACCCATTAGAAGGGATTTCTGACCATGAGATTTGTGTACACAGTATCAGAAGCCTCCACAGATAAAATCATTGGTGTTCAGGAAAGCTGGATCAACTTATCCATTAGGATCAAGAGGCACAGAGGCTAGGGCCATCAAAAATGTTTTAATTTTTTTTAATAAGAATAAAAATGAAGTAGAAGTTATTTATTTTCATGCCTTGCCTTTCAGCCTTGAAAATATACACAATAAATAGAATACTAATACATAAAATACAAATGAAATACAAATGAAGTGTACATACAATTCAAATTAAAAAGCTCAGCCATATATTAATTGCCACTGAGCTAATTTAATAATTCTTACATTTTACTTCAATTCTCACCACAGGCACCATTTTTTGACACTATGCTTCTGACTATAGTAATGACAAAACCCAACGCAGTAACAGTGAACACATACTTAATAAAAAACAAGACGTGCAGAAAATCTTAACCAGTGACCTTATTAGTAACATATAGGTGTAGAGTAAATGCTAAAATTTAGTAACCTTGATGATATGTAACAGACATAATAATTAATTGGCAACAACTGATTATTATTACAAAGCAATGCATATAATATTTACTCTTCCCTATAAATGAGCGGGTCTTAATTTTTGCATAATATCTGTTCTGGAGACAGCCAGGGAGATTTGTGAGGTTAGAGAGACAGAAAAAGTGGGGGCAATTGTGTTATTCTTCTGCCCTTTCACTTTAATTCTTTACTACATTATTTATACTTGCATTCGGAATATAACTATGCTTAGATCTTTTCTACTTCGTTAGCTAGTAACATTGTGGTGCCTTTCATGAGAGCACGGTGTAGATCAAGCCAGGAAAATCTTAGTTCAGATCTTCACTTAAAAGTAACATAGGATGAACATTATGATTTAACCTGACCTGCTTCAAAGACTGCAGTGAAAGATCTCAAATAATCCTCATGTATCTGCATTAAGATCCTTGGGGGAAAAATATAAGATATGAATAAGATAAGATTGATGGTATAACCAGCCTTGCAGTATAATGGTTATTTTTAATTCCCCATTAGTGCCTGACTGAGCCTTTTTTTTTTTTTTGGAATAGCATTTTCCCCCCAAATAAAACTTTTTCTTTAGTATAATGTGAAATAATGGCATGAAGTTGGGTCAGAAACAAGTTGGCTAGAATGGTTATCATGCTGGTAATGTATTTAGGTTGAAACAAAAAATGTCATAGCAACAATTACAATAAGAATATAAGTAAGTATGCATTTATAAAAATGTTTAATTGAAGTGCTCTTGGGCCATTCGAATGATGTGACATTTACTGAGTTGAATTTAGAGCTATTTATTTGGGGGGAAGAGATAAAACTTGCTTACTGTTGTGCTTGTATGTGTGTGTGTCTGTGTCTATCTAGTATTTCCATGTAATTAAACTTTAATTTGTTTACTTTTGAAACACATCTGCAAATCTGAATATCGTCAGATTACAGTTACACAGACTGTAGTCAGAAAGGTTTTAAGAAAAGAGCACAAGATTGAATAGTCTAAAAGTTTTTCTTCACTGAAATCACTGCAGCGATGACCAGCGTTGGTAAATGTCTGTGCTAAGAAATATGGTGCATGACTGGGAAATATGATCTCTTAATAGCAAAGCTTACTGACAATGCAAAATACTTTCCCCAAAGAAACTTTCTGGTTTTTTCTTTCTTTCTTTTTTTTCCAGGCATAAATTTGATTTCTTGTGTTCTTTTTTTATTTCTCTTCTCTCCCTCCCCCCTTTTTTCTCCCTTTTTTTCCCCCTTAAAATTCCAAACGATGTAGGTGTCTAGTCACATACAGGTCTTAGCCAGGAAGAAAGTTCGAGAAATTCAAGCTGCCATTAAGGTACGTTTGGCTTGCCCAGTTGTAGGGGGCTTTTCATCTCCATGGTTACAGGCTTTTCCTTTGTTTCCCTCCCTTCCCCTACCCTGCAGGTGTCTAGTCACATTCAGGTTCTTGCCAGAAGGAAATCTCGTGATTTTCATTCCAAGCTGAAGGTATGCGCTTTTCTGCTTTGGGGCTTGTGGTTGCTATGCGTTTCACTTCCTGTGTTCCCTGGTGATTGGAGGAATGCCTGGGGCTGTGATTCTTGTAACCTAGTTTCCTTGCATGTGGTAGCTGTTGACATTTCTTTGTGTTTAATCTCCTTCCCTCCCTCTGATTTCTGCAGTAGCATCTATATTAAACTATTTTAACACCTCGGAATGCTGTTCACTGTTTGCATGACAACTTCATAGGGAAATATGTCCTTGTTTTTTCCTTTTAAAATCTCATTAGTAGATAGAATTTGTAATATGAGTAAAAAAAAAAAAAAGGCAAAACACTGTAGTTAAATGAAAGGAGATCTTTGTATGTGCTCAAGCACATGTTGTAAAAACTGAGATTTAAATATACCAGTACTTCTGTGATTTTTGTTTTAAGAGACCTTTTCAGAGAGCTGCTAAACTCCCATTCTGCCTCCAGCGATGTTAT